TATAAATAGAATAAACCTTATTTAGTATATAAATGTTCTTTGTTGTTTGTGCAACATTTGTTTTTAGAAAAATAACTCCATGTCCTGCCCTGTTATCATAAGAGCTCACAACTCTCCAGAAAACATATAAAAAGAGCCCGTACACATTGCTCTGCATTGTTGCACAGAAGTGAAATCCAACCAAATGAAACAAGTCCTTCAAGAGTACATTTGTGTGCCTTAAACATATTTTACCTCAGATTAGTTGTTTTGAATCAAATATGCAGGCGTTAATGCATTTAAAGACCACATGCAAACGAAAACTAAAATGAGGGTTTAAAGGAGAGACACTGAGTTTTCCAAGCCCTTTTACACTCACCAAACACTAGAAACAATATCTAGAATTATATATATCATAAATAAATCTTCAATAAACCTTCTGAAGAGGGAAACTGCACATTAGAATAACAAATAAAAGTAAAATGTCTAATTCTACAATATAGTGGCACATTTAAAATTAATTCCCAATGACTCTGTCAGTCAGAATTTGCATACTACAGATTTAAGACAAATACTTTATCTCTTATCTCTTATGTTGTTTGAGGTAAACTGAAGTAGTGTTAAAGACTCTTAAAGGCAATGTTCTACTTCCTCTAGTGCCACCTGACTGTGGCACTACCTGACTTTTCATACCGAAAGCATACAAGGTCACAAACATGCAAGCAAGCCCTCAACATCATCTTTTTTTTTTCCCTTTCAAAACATCTCAGCTGCTGTCACATGTCAAACCTGATATCTGGAGCACAATAACTCTTGCACAACATCGCATGCACAATGGCATAGGCTTAATTTACATAACACGACAAACAGCCAATTCCCAGAATTCAATAAATAACACACTTTATAAGACTTTTTGATTGTTTTTTTTTTGCTGATGCGCTGGGTTTCAAACTCCCATATGTTGATTCTTCAGCTCCCTCTGCCCTCTGGACACTACCTGGTGCCATTTGGATTTCAGAAAGGTCATTGACACTGTGTGGGTCGCCATCCAACACTAAAGGAATAAACGTAATACAGGGTTAAAAGATACAGTACATCCATAAAAAATGCAGATGGGGCTAGTTGTCACAGAGGCTGTAGCTAGCAGGTGTTTTGGATGTTGTCATTCAGGTCATTTAGTATGAGCAACTTCAAATATTTAACACCAAGAACTTATAAATGTCAAGTTTTGTGGTGAGGGGCCAACTAACAGGTTGCTGAGCATACTCAGCTTGATCGCTGTTGATGTAAGTTTGTGTTTTTGGAGACTTGTTATGACACATATTTGTTATTCAGAATTGATAGATGTTTTAGCTCTATGCAGGGTTTTTGATTATATTTTGTTGTCAAAGTTTTATATATATAATATAATATATATATATATATATATATATGTATATATATATATAATTTATATTTAAATGTAAATAATTTACATTAGCGAGAGGCTTGCTATAGCAAGCTAGCTTTGAAAACATAAGATCCCACCCTCCCTGCAAATTACTCTCCAAAGCCACACCTCCTCCAAAATACATGAACGCGCGCAGGCAGACCAAAGGCTAACCAGTGAGAAAACATTACAGTACAAAGCGCAAAATATTACAATAACGCCTTTCATTCTCGCTCGGTCTGCAATAGTGTAATAGATGACGTATCACCAGCTTAACAAAAATGTTTTTGAACCAAATCTCCTACCCTGCTTTTAAGTTGATACACTTATTTTTTGTGAATTATATTCTCCAATTGCCATATATTTGTAATAGCTGCTGGTTAAAAAGTGAAAATGAACTATACAATGAATGTAGATTTCAAGAATTTCTGGTTAAAGTGATCACATTTTTATTTTGCTTTTACATATTTTATTTAATTTCTGTAGGTAAACTCTATCAACCCTATTTTGCTGATTCGTGAAATCAAAATTTTGCTGAAAAGTCTATAATAGGCTGTTTCTAGTGACAATTCATGTTGCTTTTAACATATTTACTACTCAAAAGTTTGGGGTTGGTAAGATTTTAAAAATGTTTCTGAAAGAAGTATCTTATGCTCACTAAGGCTGCATTTATTTGATCAAAAATACAGTAAAAACAGTCATATTGTTAAATTACAACTCCAAATGAGTGTTTTCTATTTTAAAATATTTAAAATGTAATTTATTTCTGTGATGGGACAACTGAATTTTCAGCATCATTACTCCAGTCTTCAGTGTCACATAATCCTTCAGAAATCATTCTAATATGCTGATTTGCTCAAGAAACATTTCTTATTTCTTATGTTGTTATTATTATTATCAAAGCAACACAGTTGTGTTATATTTTAATATTTTTGTGGAAACCATTATACATTTTTTTCCAGGATTCGTTGATGATTAGAAAGAACAGCATTTATATGAGATAGAAATCTTTTGTTATAAATTTATCATTTAATATTAACATGATAAAAATATAAATTTCTTCCAAAAAATAAAAAATAAATAAAAAAATCGTACTGACCACAAAACTTTGAAAGGTATACTAAAAAATTTGGTGTAGAAACAATTTTCACTCAGAAACTGCTTATAAATTTCACAAACAATTACAAAGAAACAGGAAGTAACCGGTTAAATTAAACAACATTTTGAAGTAGAAAAACGTCTCAGGTTACGCATGTAACCATGGTTCCCTGAGAATAGGAAACGAGACGCTGCGTCCTCTAGAGGGCGCTAGGGGAACGCCTCCAGCGTGACTGGTGTCTGAAGCATGAATGAAAAAACGACAATGAACTTGACATTGGCAGGCGGTAGCCTATGACATAAAGAATAAAGCGAGTGCGGGTATAAAAGCGCACCTGCGGAAAACGTCATCCACTTCTTTGTCTGAAGGAGACGTAGGCAGGAATGCCCGAAGCATGGCAATGGGATGCAGCATCTCGTTCCCTATTCTCAGGGAACCATGGTTACATGCGTAACCTGAGACGTTCCCTTTCGAAAGGGAACTCCACGCTGCGTCCTCTAGAGGGCGCTAGGGGAACTGTATACCAACGCTGCCATGCTGAGGGATGAGTGCCAAAATAACTGGAACCAAAAGTCAAAGACTCAAGGAACATCATCCCTGCCCCAGCCAAATCGCTTTTGCCAGAACCCGAGCCACAAACCTCTACAGGCAGGCTCAAAGCTCGCCAACGCCATAGACTAGCTCACCCACCAAAGTATGGAACTCTAAGAGTGGAGGTCTCAGCATAACAACTCTCTAGAATGAGAGGAGACCTGGCTACACTCAATGCTAGAGGCAGTTAATGAGGCTCAAAAAGAAAGAGCCTACACATTAATACTGCCTAAGCGGAGCTATGCAGAGTGGAGGCTTCAGCAGAATGACTCTCTTAAACGAGAGGAAGCCTAACAACACTCAACCATAGTTGAGGAGCTCTTAAGAGTGGAGGTCTCAGCAAAACGACTCACTAAAATGAGAGGAGACCTGGCTACACTCAATGCTAGAGGCAGTTAATGAGGCTCAAAAAGAAAGAGCCTACACATTAATACTGCCTAAGCGGAGCTATGCAGAGTGGAGGCTTCAGCAGAATGACTCTCTTAAACGAGAGGAAGCCTAACAACACTCAACCATAGTTGAGGAGCTCTTAAGAGTGGAGGTCTCAGCATAACGACTCTCTAAAGCGAGAGGAGACCTAGCAACACTCAACACCAGAGGCAGTTAGTGAGGCTCCAAAACAAAGAGCTTACAAACTCATACTACTGCCAGATACAGAGTTTTGAAGAGTGGAGGCTCCAACAGTAAGACTCTCTTAAACGAGAGGAAGTTTAGCAACACTCAACCCTAGTTGAGGAGCTCTTAAGAGTGGAGGTCTCAGCATAACGACTCTCTAAAGCGAGAGGAGACCTAGCTACACTCAACGCCAGAGGCAGTTAGAGAGGTTCAAAAAGAAAGAGCCTACAGACTCATATTACTGCCTAAGCGGAGCTCTGGAGAGCGGAGGCTTCAGCAGAATGACTCTCTTAAACGAGAGGAAGCCTAGCAACACTCGATCCTGGAAGGGGAACTCTTAAGAGTGGAGGTCTCAGCATAACGACTCTCTAAAGCGAGAGGAGACCTAGCTACACTCAACGCCAGAGGCAGTTAGTGAGGCTCCAAAACAAAGAGCCTACAAACTCATATTACTGCTATAGATGGAGTTCTGAAGAGTGGAGGCTTCAGCAGGATGACTCTCTTAAATGAGAGGAAGCCTAACAACACTCAGCCCTAATAGATAAACTCTAAATAGTGGAGGCCTCAGCATGACGACTCTCTAGAACGCGAGGAGGCCTGTCTACACTCAGCGCTAGAGACAGTTAGTGAGGCTCACAAAAAAGGGCCTACACACCAAAAGTGCTGCCTAAGTGGAGCTCTGGAGAGTGGAGGCTTCAGATGAATGACTCTCTTAAACGAGAGGAAACCTAACAACACTCAATCCTAGTTTAGGAGCTCTTAAGAGTGGAGGTCTCAGCATAACGACTCTCTAAACTGAGAGGAGACCTAGCTACACTCAGCGCCAGAGGCAGTTAGTGAGGCTCAAAAGAAAGTGCCTACAACTCATATTACTGCCTACGCGGAGCTCTGGGGAGCGGAGGCTTCAGCAGGATGACTCTCTTAAATGAGCGGAAACCTAACAATGCTCGACCCTGGTAGGGGAGCTCTTAAGAGTGGAGGTCTCAGCATAACGACTCCCTAAAGCGAGAGGAGACCTAGCTACACTCAACGCCAGAGGCAGTTAGTGAGGCTCAAAAAGAAAGAGCCCACAACTCATATTACTGCCAAAGACGGAGCTCTGAAGAGCGGACCCTCTAAAGCGAGGGGAGTGCAATCATCCACCCTTATGGATCAGCGTACTCAATACAAAGACCCTCAGGTGAGGGGAGTACTCGAAAGCTCGACCTGAAGAGCGACGTATCAAGGAGGCCCACAAGAGCCTAACAGCCTAACAGTCATAGAGCTCTGTTGAGAGAACTCTAGGAACTATGATCTCAGCATAGCGACCCTCAAAGGGAGGGGAGCTACCAGGCTCAAGAACAGCTGATCAGGGAGGCTCACAGAGAGCCTCACAACCTGAAATAACTGCAAAACAAAAATAATAGACTCTTGTTTCCTGATCTTGGACTCTGGTTTGGGAGTGGACGTCCTGACCAGTTTGGGTGGTGGAGGCATCCTGGCCAGGCTAGACTGTGTCATCTCAGGCTCTTCATCTTCTGGTTCCTCTGGTGGAGGCAACTTCACCACCGGCTTCACATAGTAACTGTGATAAGCAGCATGTAGCTGCCCATTACCTGTGCTGGCAGGTTTGGGCTGGGGTTCAGGGGCCTTGGGGGGCTTTGGTGGGGGCACGTCCTGTAGCTTGATGGCCGGTACAGGAAGAGGGGTGGATACTTTGGTGATCTCTGCCACAATCGAGGCTCTCTCTTCTTTGCTTATCTTGCGAGCAACACTACTACTGTCCTTGCTTATCTTTCGGGCTACGCTGCTGTTGTCTTTGCTTATCTTCCGGCTGGTGCTGGCGCTGGGGTTGGGTGGCTGGCTCTGATGAGGGGAGAGAGGAGGTGATGGGGTCGGGCTTTGGGCAGGAGAGTGGCTTGGAGTCGTGCCGCGCCGATAGAAAGGGCTGCGGCGCCTTTCTTACCCGTGTTTGTTTTTCTAATTGTTTTTTTGTTTTTTTCCCCCGTTTGTTTCTCCCCGCTCAAATGGAGGAACGAGCGAGGTTCCTTGCCTTGGCTCATACGAACCCCAACCCGATTGTTTTCGACAATCGAGGGGGAAACCCTTGTGACGCTGTTCCGGATCAGGATAACTTACCATCGCCCCACGGAGCTCCCAGACACCACCGACCTTGGATGGAAGGAGTCAGTCATCTGGTGTCTGGAGAGTCTCCGATCCCGATCCGGGACCCATCTGCCGGCAGTTCCCGAGTCAAGTCTGTTAATGTGGGAAGCCCAAAGGACGTTAATGTGTTAAGCCCAGGGAGGGCTCCTGTTTCCCCGTTAAGCCCACGGAGGGCTTCAGATCCCCCGTTAAGCCCAGGGAGTAATTGTTTTTTTAGTTCAGTTAAGCCCCGGGAGGGCTCCTGATTCCCAGTCAAGCCCAGGGAGGGCTCCTGATTCCCAGTCAAGCCCAAGGAGGGCTCCTGATCCCCAGTCAAGCCCACGGAGGGCTCCTGATCCCCAGTTAAGTCCAGGAAGGGCTCCAGCTTCAAAGCTCGCTCCAGTGTTGGCTCCAGCCCCAGAGCTCACTCCAGTGCCCGCTCCTCGTAAGAGCTTTCTAGAGCGCCATCAAGTGCCCGCTCCTCCAGAGCGCCCCCCAGGATTCCTAGATTTCCCCAAGAAAATGGGGGGGGCATATACCCGTGGCCGAGCCAGCTAAGGCCACGGAGGATCTGCCATGGCTTCCTGAGTCCCATAATCCGCCATGGCTCCCTGATCCGCCCTGAAGGCACTCCTTGTCTCCGCCCTGTTCCAGTCCTGCACCAGCCTCCAGGGTGCCCGCCCTCTCTCCCTGATGGTACTGTTACAGCGCGGGACGCGCCATCCGGGAAGGGGGCGATCTGTCATGTGTATGTTCCCGTTTAGTTCCTGGTTGTTCTTATTTGGTCCTTCCTGTATTAGTTATCCCCATCACCTGTCTGCCCCTCGTTATCTGCCCTATTTAGTTCTAGCCCGTTCTGTTCTCCCTTGTCTGGAATTGTTTGTCAACTCCTTGTGCTACGTGTGATTCCCTGAAAAATAGAATTAAACTCCTTTGTTTTGTACTCCTGGTCTCCTCGCTCCGTGGTCCTCACAGTAGCAACCCGTGACAGTATGACAGTATTTACACAACTATCAATACTTAGTCGGGCAACCCTTAGCCTTAATGACAGCCTATAGTCTCCTGGGCATGCTGCCACCCAGCTTCATGCAAACCTGAACTTCACATTTTTTTTCCCCAGACTCTGTCTGAATAATTTTTGGTCCCAAATTTTTATCAGTTTTACTGGTAGTCCACTGTATGAAGAAATTTTGGGTATAATTAGTCACAGTTTACTTTATTTTGCTATCCTCATTTACACAAATTAACTATAGTGTTGTAGCGTCTGGACCACTCAAACACACAATATATATTTTGTTAGCTAGATTGAACAAATACTCTGTAACAGCCCAGGAAGCCGAACAGGCCCCTGGTTCCATGGTAACCCTGACACCCGATACATTACTGATTCGTTACAGTGTCCTGCACCCACTAGTAAAAAAATATAAAAAATGATATCTGGTCTCTGAATAATTTTTGGTTTGACTGTATATCCTTTGGTTATTTTCACACTTAATTATGCCCATTAAAATGTATTTTACAAGTTTTTGTTACTTTCACTGTAAATTTTTTTTGCTCTATGGTACATCATCTTTAATTTAATAGAGCTACTCCATTGCCGCGGCTTAGTACTGTAATCACACGCTTTGCTGTAATAATGTAGTTATAAATCTCCTAACTGTGATATTTTCAGAAATAGAAGTCGCGGTTTTTTTCATCTGAAACGTGCTGCGATTTATATTCCAAAGCCACTTGCGCTCTCTCACTCTCTCTCTCCCTACCGTTAAGTAACTTGTGCATTGTTTTACTTGTTTTTGACGTATCCGACCGAACTACAAACTTTCCAGTGATGTCTGTGAGAAAGGTATATTCATCGACAAGCTCGCGCATCTGCGCTGCCACGCGCACAATCCACTCAGTGTGCTTTGCTTATCAGCTCGCGCACATCAGCTATACAGTCAATACTGAATGTTTAACATTATATTCATTGCATCCATATACTTCGTAGACATCCTTAATCTCTAATAACTCCATTCTGCTGTCTGTTGTTCTGTTGTCGGTGTTTCATTGTCTGAATATGGCACTTAACACATGCTGTGTGGTATCGGCGTTTGGTATCAGGGCATTTTAACGAGTACGAGTACGAGTACAGGAGCTCAGTATCGGGCCCGATACCGATACCAGTATTGGTGCATCCCTAATAAATATAAAATAATATAAAGGAAATATAATAAATATATACATACATTCAAATATATAACAAATTAATATACAATTAATATTTAACAAATAAACATTCACATATTTATATTAATTATTAAATTATACTAATTAAATATATAAATTATATGAATTTAATTCTATATTTATATATTTCATGAAATTATTTAGAAAATATGCAATATAACATACAATAGATATTATTTCTCTAATTGGAATAAGTTTACACACACACTCACACTCACACACACAAAACATTTTACTCAGTGAAATTATGTAAGATAAATGTAAATACACCAAGCTGTAACACACCAATGTCACTCTGGTTCTTAAAGAAATATTGTGACTTTAATGCAACTTCATGTGTTTCTAATGGAAACCTTCTCAAGTCTATTCTGTAAAATAAAAGACACTTTTTGTAATGTGTGCGAATTGTTGTAATTCTCGAAACATGGTTTGCTCAGTCACCCTGTCAATGAAAACTTTCTGTCCAATCTGGATCAATTAACTAGTGAAACTCCATAAAGGGTAATGGCAAAACTATGAATGATGCAGTGCTGAGTCTGCATAATAGAGCTTTCCGGGAAAATCATACGGCTCCAACTAGCTTAAGCCCAAACAATTTAACAGCAGTTTAATTCACTTGACATCTCTGGCATCCATGATGACCGACTTCAAAGAGTGCGAGGGCATTCTTAATGTTTAAATGGCTTAAAGTATCCTCTGAAGATAATTTCTCATAATAACTTGATAAGAGCTCATGCTGTATGGAGGGTCCATTCTGCTTCTTTCTGTCTGAACAGAACTCCTGTCACAAGTTCCTGGCATTGTTTGCGTGATTTACTGGTCTAAAGGGACAATGCTAGCTCACTGCAGGCATAATTCACTGCCAAACACACAAGCTTGCTCTTCTATCATTTACAGAAGACACTTACATACTTATATGACCTGCTATTAACAAAGTTAATTGTTCTTAAAAATCATTACATAACACATAACGCATAACACATACTAATGAAAAAAAAGTATCTATTCAGGATGATTTTGATCATATGATGTCTAATGTTACAAGCCTTTGTGTAGAGTGTTATTTTCTAACCAACGCCAAGAACTGTTAATCTTGTAGCTGCGGAGCAACTTAAAAATAAAGTCCACATAATGCTCTAAGATTGCTTTGATCTCTCTGTAATCCTCAAGCAAGACTCTGAAAGTAAAAGACTGCTACCCTGGGATGGCACAATAGAAATATACTGTATTTGATGAACAAAACAATAATTACAATGTACTTGAACAATTGTATTCAAAATCAATGTAATATTAAATCCTTCATTACTATAAAATGAACAAACATTGAACAAGCACACATAAATGAAAAAAAAGAGTAACTTTTCTATGAAATTTGACAAACAATGACAAAGTAGCAGCAAGTAACACACTGAATTAAATGTGAAATTTTGAAGATATGAATTTCAGCATTTTCTTGTAAAACGTATTCCAATAATCTATTTAAAATTTCAAAAAATAAATTTTTACAGTGTATTTTTTTAGAACAATTAAATAATACATATATTTAAAGAAATATTTTAGCTAAATAAAAATTTGTTTTATATACATAATCTAATAACAATGTAATATGCATAAGCATAGGGTTCTGCATTTTCTGTGAATGAGGAATATTGTAATATATCAATTATGCATTTTATAATGAGTTAAATTTGCATTAATGATCATTCAGTGTAAAATTATTTAAAATACAAACATTTCCCATTTCATTTTGATGAAGGGGAACTTGAGTGTCACTTCTAGAGTTATGGGGGTACACAAGGCAAAAAGGTTGGGAAAAATTGCAGTATATTTGTATGTCAGTTAGAAGAAACAACATCATTGCCTTGTTTTTCAACATTATATGCATAATCATAATGCATACACCAAATCACTACAAATGGATTACAAGTGCAGAATGTAGGGAAACCTGTTGTAATGAAGTGTAATATAAAATCTACAACAACCCCATAGGTTAATAAGAATAATATGTTTCTTGTATTATTCATGACGGTTATAATGGATAATCCTGGCCATATTCCAGCACCATTAGACAGGCCTATGAGGGTGACTGCTCTGTTTAAAGTCCCCATGAAATCAAAATTAAAGTTTGTTGGGTGTTAGTATCAATATGTTAGTCTTAAGGTTATCTATAAGGCAGTGTGCTCCAAAACAGTGACAAAATTCGCATTTAGAAGATATAAGCATTCAAAGCTTTCAGTTCGTCACTTCCACCAAAACGGCTCAACGATTTCTTTGACGTCACATCGTACTTCAGCTTCTCATCAAACTTTCTGTCCAATCAAATGATCTCTAGAATCCGAAGCGCCCGCCCCCTACACTATAAAATAGACGCTGAAGCCGCGGCTGAATTCAGTCACTTGTCCACAGAATTAGTGTTTTCTGTACAGTGAATGGCACGTAGTGCACTATATAGGGCACAGGGAACTATTCAAGAACATTGAAGAAGTCTGGCTAACCACCGCACCGCACACACACTCTGCTCCGGTCCAGAGACACGACAGCACGGAGCGGATCACATGCGTGAGTCGGCGCAGACCACAAAATGTATCAG